TGGTCTTGTTCTTATTCGTGCACGATCTGCGACGACGAACGACGCACGACGCGCGGCGATACGACGATGGTGCTTTCACTTCACCTCGGCCTGAAACTCCTGAAATATCGTATTTTACCCGGTCGCGATCGGTTTCTTCGTGTAAATGATACGAAAATCGTGTGTCCCACCTCGTGGGGCCCACCACGTTACCCACGCACGCCGTGCGACAGGTTTCACTTCCACGTTTTCGAACGCCCCGGCGGATTGTTTTCTCGGTGCTGCGACGACAGGAAGACTTTATTCGCGAACAAGCGTAGATCAAATAGGTAAGGCAGAGCCTGACTGAAAAATTATTGACAGCGTTGTACTCTGTAAAATTTTCTACTTTAAGATTTCTTACAAATCTAACGAAACTACGCGGTCTATTTGTTAGTCGACGTTGTTAAATTTCATTGACATTTTAAAGACACTTTACTGCGTGCTTATATTTAGCAAGAAATTATAACTCTTATCGAGTTCTTCTTTGAGATCAAGAGATTTGAATATTTTCGAAAGTTTCGGAGCATATGTAGCATTTCAAGCTACGGGAACTAATTAGTTACATTCAGAAATGGAACGTCGCGTCTTCCATTTGAAAAGAAGAAGATATTCCAAATTTCCCAGCCGCGGGCAAAAGAGTTGCGATTCTCTGATATCGATCACTTGTCATTCGAATTTCGGTTCCCTTTGAAATCGATGGATCGTTGGGCAAATGGTCGGGTGCAGGAATCCCGACGGAAACGTAAACAGTCATCGATCGGGGGAAGCATTAGCCACGGTCATTAGCCGGTAGATGGATTGAAAGAGCATTGAAAATCGAATTGTCGTTAGGGTGAATAATGCGAGAGCGCAACGTCGTATCCTGCGGTACGCCGTTATTCCCCCGGTCATCCGAAATGGGATCCTGTCCCAGAGGGTCGCGTGGCAGAACGCGCGGCCACTCCACGACATTGCGTGCCACTATTTACGAGTGAACAACCTCCGTGTTCCTCGTCCTTCCTGCACGCGTCGTCGTTCCTTCTCTCGGACGGTTCCTTTTCGACAATTCGCCGCTTATCTTCTTCCCCGTTCGTCGCCGGAGCAACCTGTTACTGCAACCTCTTTCTCGCTCCTCGATTCTCTCACGTCCATCAACAACCACTGAACTGTGAATTTTTATATTCTTATTGGAAACTTGAATCATCACGGAGGCCAACGTCTCTTTGTTAAATTTGTATCGAAGAAATGAAAGAACGGAAGGGGGGGGGGGAAGTTCCACGTTACATGTAAATATCTTGAAATTTCAAGAAGAAACGGTATTGTCGGCCATGGGTGAATCGGACCGGAGCTCGTAAAATATTACAATCGTACAAACGATCTCAAATTATTCGTTACAATAATATATCTCAGAGCTGAGCAATTCGCTAAATTCGATTCACTCTTTGACAGTTGTTTGCAACAAAGAAGAGTGTCAGAAATGGTCGAGCGACTCGCGTGGAAAGACCTCAAGTGTATGCACGTGTGCATGTGTGTGTGTATGTGTGTGCGCGCGCGTACGTCACCGGAAGAAAGATGTCGCGTACGTCACGGAAACTGCGCGAAACAACACAGCGAAAGAAACGCGAAATAAAGAAAAGTGCCGGTAGATTAGGATCAATCCGTGGAACAACGGGAGAGATAGGTACACGATAGACGCGCGATGAGTCCGTGAGATCGGTGTGTTAATAATTGCGCTTGTTGGCGTAAGGTTGGCCTCGCGAGGAGGCCGACGGACCGGACCGGAAGCGACGGAATAAAAAGCGACGAGAGGCCAATCGGAATGCGCGAACAGCGAGCGATGGCGTACCCACGGAGGCTCTCCATGGACGCGTGAATCTTCCTCGTGTGTGCAACGCTTCGAAACACGCGTGAAACACGATCTTAGACACGGGAGGGAGCGAAAGTTTACTCGTCATGCTTGTTTGCCGAACGATTTAGGCTACATTTCGAGCCCGACACGCTTCACCGAAGTAGAGAGGTGACGGGGATTGAATTAGTCAAGCTGTGTTGACTGTCGGGTGTGGACGTGTCCATCACTCGCTTATCGTTTGATTTTCTTTGATACAGAAAGAAGAGTTTCTAGAGAATGCGGTAGAATTCTGTTGGCCTACTAGGTTAAACCTACTCGTCTGCGCTGATTCTATCCGACTTAGAATGCTGTGGTTGAGTCTACTTAACCGATAAAGAAGTTCGACTTGGCAGAAGTTGTGTGGAGTGAAATTAAAGCGACAGGGATTGAATTGATTAAACTGTTGACTATCGGGTGTGGGCATGCCCATTATCCACTTATCGTCTAATTTTCACTAACAGAGAAATTGTCCAGAGAATGTAATAGAATTCTGCTTGTACGAACGAAATTTCACTTAGTGTCCCCGTGCTGGATGAATCTACTTGTCTTAGCTGATTGTGTCTGACTCGTGCTGACCAGATCTACTTACTACTCGAACGTCGTTCGAATTCCTCGTATAACGTCATCAAGAAGTTATTAAAAAATTGCTAAACAGCGTAAAGAAGTTAATTTACAAATTGAACCTTCTGTTTAGCTCGCTTCACGTCTACCTTCGTCTTATTTAGACATGATCAGAGTTTAAATAACATTTCGAGCAGACGAGGTATTGCTGTTCCCTCGTCAGGATGACGGTGCATTTCGGGCAGGCCGACTCGTCCCAGCCTAAGTGAATGGTTAAGTAAGTGATTATCTTCTTGAGCGTATAATCGATCGATGATTAATGGGATCGGCGGTTGTCGGATGCGGTTCCAATTAGGAAGCGTCCCCGACGATCAAACGCGTCGATACGCGTGCCACCGCATGATTGTTTCAGTCTACGAGGCTCGTGCGAGCCTCGATGGGCGTGCCGCTGACCATTTTTTAATTTCGTCCATCACTTTCGCCAAATCGAGCTTCCTTTCTTAATTTATCATTCGTCAAGATCATTTCATTTGGAAATTTAACGGGAAGATTTATGAAGTCCACGCATTCAAGCAAGGAAGTAAACTTCAGATTCGTACAATTCTCTTTACATTTCTGTTCTACTGAGATAGCTCGAGCGATTCAATTTTCTTTCTTCTTTTCGTTTACTGCAATTGATAATCATCTGGTTTAGTACCCAATTGTGAGAAGAATCAGTTGTGCGAATTGAACATATAAGGAAATAGTATTTTAAAATACGTAACTTTCGTTTACACGAATGTTCAGAAGACATTGTTGAAGAAGTTGTTACAGTTAGTAATCAGACTGCAGATTTCTATG